GGCAGGCGCGATGGTGCCCGCACGCATAGGATTGGGAACCCGTCTTAGTGTATATTCACAGTGGTGTCCGCCGAAAACATCGCGGCAAAAACATCGTGGATGAAAACGTCGCGGAGAAAACAACTGTTGGCAGGCGCGATGGTGCCCGCACGCATAGGATTGGGAACCCGTCTTAGTGTATATTCACAGTGGTGTTCGCCGATAACATCGCGGCAAAAACATCGTGGATGAGTGAGTGACGCAAAAACCAGAGATCGCGGAGATGAAAAAACAAAACGCCAAATCCGACGTTAAAACGTCCGTGCTACATAACATCGTCGGGAGAAAAAAATATTTCATCGCAAAGAGAAAACATCGCAAACAGTTCTAAACATCGATGGTACAAACATCGTCGTAGAAAATAAAGCGGTTCAAAAACATCGCAGTTTAAAAATGCCCGGGACATCGTTTCGTCGAAAAATATCGTGGTAAAAAATAAAGTATCTACAAAATCATCGCATGACGATAACATCGCAGACATGCTTTTTTCAGGTTTTAATAATTGTAAATGGATATTCCCATAATGATTTGTGAGCGCAAGGTGTAAAGAAGGATAAATTTTACTTTCACATATTTTATTAAACTAATAAATTTTGCTGAAAACGTTAGAAGGAAACTCAAGCATAGAAAATTAAATGTAACTTATAGATTATACTTTCATGAAATATTACCAGTAAAAACTTTATAAAAATGATTTATTAATGGCCTTTGTTAGTTAACTATGTCGGTTTAAAATTCTATTAAGTGCTATAAGTTGCATTAATTTTTTTATGCTTAAGTTTCCTTTTTATTTTCTCAGCAAAAATTTATTAATTAATAAAAAATATGAAAGTAAAAATTATCCTTCTTTCCATCTTGCGCTCACAAATCATTATGGGAATATCCATTTACAATTATTAAACGCATGCCTGAAAAAAGCATGTCTGCGATGTTATCGTCATGCGATGATTTGTAGATACTTTATTTTATCACGATATTTTCGACGACGATGTTTTTAAACTGCGATGTTTTTTGAACCGCTTTATTTTCGACGACGATGTTTTGTACTCTTTGCGATGTTTTTTCCCACTGACGATTTTTCTCTTGCGATGTTTTTTCCCACGACATTTTTGTCTGCGATGTTTTTGCCGCGATGTTTTCGGCTGTAACCATTCACAGTATGGCAATTAAGTGATCAGAGTGTATTAAAAAAATAAACGTTCCATTGATGCAAATTCCTATCTTAGTTAAAAATACGATAGGTAATTAAAGAGAAGGCTTGTAAAAGGTCTGTTTCTGCTAAAGCTTTAAGAGTAGTAATGTTGCATTCTTTCTATCTCTTGCAAAACAGGAAAATCTTTTCTTTGATAGGTCACTTAATTTTTGTGAAGGAAAAATAATGCAAAGAGACAAATTTAGATAACACGCTGGATGAAAAGTACGCATACTTATTTTTAGGATAGAACGTTTCTACGATCTAGTTGTTGACTGGTGAGAAGATAGATTTTCGTGCTTCAAAACAGTTTCCATCAGAATAACATAAGATAAAAAATCGTCTGCTTAATTCTTGGATATTAAGGTGAGCTATTCAACGAAACATTTAAAACTGCAGCATCGTTTTGGCACCTCAACTTGTAAAATAAAACTAATATCACTTAATTTAAGCACCCGTTTAATCTTCATATGGTGAATAACTCAGGGAGATAATCAGCCCGTCTTTAGCTTAGATTCCAAGAAGGCCATGTGGATACCATAATGGCAAACGTAACTGAACGTTCATTTGCACTACCAAGTACAGTGTTAAGTTTAAAATTGATGATCTTTTTAACAAAACTATATTGCCTGTGCCTGAGAATATGTACTTTAACTATTCGCAAATCAAATATTTAAATTAGAATCTGTAGGATTGCTACTATTACCGCGAATTAGAGTTAAAATCCTGCAGACCCTACTAAACAGACAAAGAGTTATCGCTACATCTTATACAACTCACAAAATATAGAAGGTTTAAATAATCTTTTGATTTTCATATGAGTGTGAACATAAAGACACAGAATGTGCTGCAGACAAAATTTCCACCACTCGTTGATATTTTAAATTAATAGTATAGAGAATTAAATTCACAACTCGATAACGTATTCTAAAGCTACACATTAAATAGTATGGGTTGACTCATATGTTTTATCGGTGCGTATTTAAGACATCGGCAAGGGAAAATGCTAAAGCCGGAATATAATTTTAAAACAGAGCGTGAGAAAAGTACAGCAAATGACATTGCCAGAAGCTCTCGCAACTAAAGATTCGAAACCCTCAGTTTAAATACACACAGCTAATTTGCATTATGTTAAGAAATATGGAAAGGAGAAGTTATAGTAAAGACTTAAATTATAATAATTGGCTAATTAACATAAGATATTTCGCAAATATTAGGTTACTTGCAATTTTTTCAAATAACTTTAATGTAATAAAGGCTCTCAATTTAAGCAGTCCTATTTAACCTAGAGGCTATAAAGGCTACTGATAGTTTGTCCTGGAAGCATAACTCCTAAGTATACTTCGGTATCGCAACCGTGGGAAGAGCGTAAAGTTCAGAATAGTGGGCTTCTACTGCTGTTGTGACGCTGAATGTTGGAAAGTGGTTGTTTTTATCTTGTTTTGCATTTGTTCTGAAGATATCCACTGTATTCAGCATGTATTTATATTCCTTTGAAATTCTTTCAACCAGATAGTTAAATCTTCACAATGATTTACTATATTAAATCCGATTTCATATCGAAAATTTTCTCACGAAATTCACAATGTTTTAGTTATTTAAGAGAGACCGGGCTCCAAAATAGTTTCAGTCATCTTGCTTTGAGCTTAACAAATGTTACGTGACCCGACGGAAAATAGTCCATTGAACCATTCTAGAGGTCCCATCCTCGGTTGCGATATTAATGTGCAGTTAGGAACTGAGCGTCCCAGAGAACAACAAAGGCAAATGAGCTGGCTGCACTGTTTTCATGATTTCCCCCTGTGCAACTTGAAAACGAGCCACTTCTCCTTAGAAAAGACACCCATGAAGTCATTCCTTTCCTTAGGCAAATAGCCTCCATGTAATTCACGATATTAAAATAACCAGCTGACCAACCAATTTCTAAACTAAGGAAAGCTGAAGCTCACCAGAGTCTAGTGTAGTTATACAATTGGATGAAATACGATGGATACATAGCCAATGGTTGGAATGCCAGTGTCACACATTTCATTCGTAATTTTTAGCAGAGTTGAAGGAGAGAAGAAGTTCAGCTACTAGAATTTTAACAATATGCCGACAGAAAAGAAGAACCTTTTAATTTTTGAAATTATTTTACAACAAAAATTTTAATAAACTGTGATATAACAGAAAAGGTAACAGGAATAATAATAATATGAAAATAAATGTAACAATAATCATCGTTTATTATATTACTGATGGTTAGAATTCAGGTCTACAAAAATTAAAATTTGACTTTTAAAAATACAAGCCTATGGGCACATAAAAAAATATTTTGCTTTGCATAAAAGGATCTTACGGGTCCTTTCAAATACAATAGTTTAAGAAATATACCATGAAGTAAATGCTTCGAAATATCTTTGGACAGAAAATATTTTCAGAATCATTTTTATTTGTTGCCTTTCCAACACACAGAAAAGAAGATAAAAATGTTATATTCCAGTAAATTTAAACATTTCTATATTAGAAGACAGCATGTTTTGTTATTAATATTTTCAAGTGTTGTTTAACGTGTTAAGATGTATTGAATGCATATATGATGCACAATTTTGGAACCTACAAAATTAATTTCGTTGCATATAAAATTGAAATTACGCAAAACAGCAGACGATAAAATGGCAAAGGTAAAAATTCATTCTTATGGAAGGGAAAAAATATTTAAACTTTTCATTAATATTTCTTACAAATTTAGAAAAAAAAATCATGTATTATTAATAAATATTCATTAGGCATTATTAATAAAATAGAAAATAAGGAAATTCCACATGAATAATCTCTCCGTATAAGTTTCTTTGCAAATTTAAGTTTCAAAGTAACTCTTGCAATTCATTGAAAATTATAATAAAGGGCGTACACCGTATTTGACGTAATTATCATATAGTTATTTAGAAATATGCCAAATTTCAAAACGCGCCAATACATAAATTACGGTATATCTTGGGAAATGTTTAAATAAGAAAACTGTAATTTTTGCTATTATGCCTAAAATATATCTATTTTAAGATGATAGTGAAAATCTTATAGGTTATAATTCAAATTATTTTTCGAAAAATTTATAAAAATTATTTAAAAACATAATTTTTTAAAACAATTATAAAATGTGATATTTGTATATAGATTGAATCTAAATTTTGAATTGTGAAAGAAGAAATCAACTAAGTTTAACAAAAAAGAGATATTAATAAATATATGGCAGACTTTTTTTTAACACTGAGGAGCTAAATGATTTTAGAGCTAATTGTTTAAAAACTACTTGGATGATTTTCACAACACTTAGCATTTGGCATAATTTGAGAGGCAGAATCAAAACATGGAAAAAAGGGTATCATTTTATAAAAAGTCCGATTTTGTGTCAAAATACTTATGCTATTGCAATGTTATATATAAACTTAATATAAAGTATTTTTTAACTGATCCACATCTGTGGAAATTCTTTCACTGTCACAGTTCTGAATTATCAGCATAATATCCTTTATATTAACATTAAAAATGGTCCTTCAAATTTGATTAAATAGACTTATTTTCTTGTGTTTCCTCAAGGAACTTTACTGTGATTTACTTTAAAAATATCACTGGCTTTTAGATCAGTTTTCTTACAGTTTTTATTACATTTAATGATGGGTAGACTGATATGTTCAATAAAAGTTGCTTGAATTAAATAATTGCATATTTTAAAATTTAAATAAAAAATGACAGCAAAACCTATACAAATAACAGAAATAAAAATTAATGTATTCAGAAGCTCAAAATTTTATTTAACGTTCCACACAGACATTTAATATTATATATGAAATACGTTATTAAAATACACCAAATAATAGTATTCAGAAACTATATATTTTACACCACTTAATTTATTTTATAGACATCTAAACAAAGCATGATCAAAGTTCATGGAAGCAGTTGTTTGAGGTGTTTGCGAACATTAATCATTTCTTGCTGCTGAATATCCATCAAAATTTTCTTCTGGAGAAGGGCCATTTCCTTCCGTAATTCACTATGAACAAGAGAATACTGTTCAATATGACTTTCTTCTAATTCAGTCATACCCTGAAATGATAATTACTTTCTTAAAAATTCGCTTGTAAACACATTACTTTGTTAGATCTATATTACAGTTTTTAATAACTATCATTAATATATCAATGTTAAGGGGATTCGTACACCTTAAAACCCATAAGATCTTCGAATATGTGACTGTTGCAAGAATTGGGATAACTTATTTATTTAAAAAGCAATTACTTCCAACTTTTTACAGATTACTACATAATATATCTGCTTTCCAAAATAGTGATCAGAAAGTTTGTGTTGCCACAAATATTTTTATAATTTAATCCGCTTTTTTGACAAAAATTTTCGTCAAGTTTCCACCTTGCGCGCACAGTTTAAAACATTCTGTTGCATAATTTAATTGCATATTTAATATATAGCTTTTATAACATTTGGAAACTACTGTGAAACAAAAATTCTAAGAATTTCATGTTAAAGTTTTACTTTAATTGGAGTCGAGTTTATAAAATGTAATTTATAAAAAAAAATCTGTAATGTTTTCGTCCATAAAATTTTTTAATATTAAAATATTCATCAGATTTTAGGTTCAGTTAAAAAATAGGGCTCATATAAAGAATTCAATCAATTTTCAAGTATGTACCATTAGCCATTTTTAAAATATCGTGCGCGCAAGGTGGAAACGTGACGAAAACTTTTGTCACAAAGCGGATTAAATTACAAAAATATCTGTGGGAACACAAAATTTCTGGTTACTAGTTTCCAAAGCAGCTATTTTATGTAGTCAGCTGTAAAAAGTTGGAATTCATTTTAAAATAAATAAAATATCTCAATTCTTGCAACAGTCACATATTCGAGGGGTGTCAAGGGGTTTAAGGTGTATGAGCCCCCTTAAATACTACTCCCATATTTAAATTAGAGTTCAAAATTCCGCAGCTGCGTAAAAGTAGGAGCAAAATTGAAATAAATATTCTGAAAATAAATAAAACATTATTTTGTTTTAAATAAAATAATTAAAAATATTATCGAAGTATCTTAATCAAAAATTTTATTAGAATATACTTTAAATATGAAATGATAGTTCATTCTATTTTTGACTTTTAAAATATAATTTCTCTATCGATTTAATTAATAAGAACAAGTATGTGTATAATTGTCTCCTATTTTTTAAGACGTTCAAGATATTTACTTTAAAATATTCGTAGCTGTAATATCTTGCAAAAGCGTGGTAAAATATTCTTAAGGAAAAGAAATCACATATAGAAATTGAATGCATTTATAGACTGCTCTATATTATCTCTGTTATTAAATAATAAAGAATGTGTATATTCCCAGTATTATAATAAAACGACAGCATCTAGAGCCACTTAAATTTTTAACATGTATGATTCTCCATTCGAAAATGTGCACCACGAAATCAGAATGTTGAATTTCAAATTTGTCTTTTATTTATTTCATATTTTACAAAAATTTATTGAATTTTTGATTTACAAACAGAATTATCTGAAAGCAATATGTTATCGCTTGACAAAACGTAAAAAAATTACGTGCAAATTTAATCAGAAAATTCAATAGTTCAAAAGAAATTGGCCGCTCTGCCACTCATATATTACCACTCGGCAAAGGGTAAAATATTTTTCTTTCAAATAAAAGAAATTCATTACCACTGCCCGAAATATTTGTTTTTTATCTCTCACGCAACAGTGTGACGCCATTTGGTAAAGCGTAAAACATTTAATTTTTCGTTTGAATTTAATATATATTACTGAATAAAAAATTAAGTTGTTTAAAAGCAATAATAAAATAATAATATCACAACAAATAAAGCAATACATTTAGCTACTTTCCTGTATTAATATTAAATACTGTTTGGACCCCTGAAATTACACTAGCTGCGCTTATTAAAAGCATTTCATACTTTTATAAAAATTATTTCAGGTGACTAGCCGCGCAAGCAGCTCGTATTAAGAAAATTAAAAACTGTAGGCTTGGTTATAACTTAGGGAGGCTGGGCAATCTGAGAAAAAAACAAAGATACAATGATATATAAGCAGTTACCTTGCAAAACTCATCATTTAGATTTTTTAGAGCTTTTATTCGCTGGGCGTGAGATATTCTTATCTGTTGCTGATGCTTCTGTTGCTGGAGGAGTACTTTCTATAATGCAATAACATTTACTATAATTTACCAGCTTTTATTATTTTAATTACATTAAGAAGAAACAGTTATTAATGATCTTCATGAATAACTTTTTAAATAGTATCAATATTGACACCCTTCATTAAATTCATCATATTTACTGCAAAATTTTAAAATTCTAACTCAAAACATACGTTCAGTTTTCAAGTTTTTAACAAATGTTCTACTCTAAGAAGTTATTCTATCTAGTTTATTTTTACAAACGTTTGATCGATACGTGAATTATTATAATTCATCACTGTTAAGTGTTTAAACGCTAATTCTCATTTCCTAATATTAAATATGTAGTTTTTGTCTTAATCAAATTCAGAGCAGATTAAAATGCCTAATAGTCTTGAAACATTCTGCTATCTGCAGTTTCGAAAATAAAGAAAATTTTTAACTATTTTGAATTTCATACGAAAAAATAGGGCATTAAATATGTCACGGTCTACCGTAATACCGACTACAAATTTTTATTAGCTTGGCATTACTTTGCATAAAATGTTTTTATGAAAAACCAAAAAAAAATTTTTCATTCAGCTAAATTTATTCATCTGTTATTCTTACGTTATTCTTAATAGCTGTAAGAATAGTACTATATGAAATACAAGATAAAAGAAGTATTTTTATTCCAGATCTTTAAAAAAGATTTATAGTTTACATTTTCTAATATTCAGAAAACAATGAACAAAGATTTTTCAAATCATTAAGATTAAATTATTACTTTTCATATTCTCAAAATTTTCTCGAACTGAGGTAGCAATTATAAACCTCGTTTCTAAACTAGAAAACAGAGGATAATAAAATAATAATTAATATTCTCATATGACTTATACTGACATTTATCAGTCGAGTTATCTGAAAGATATACATTCAAGGAGTGTCTATTATTATTTGAAAGAAAACACTTTTTCCAACTTCAAAAAGCTTTCTTATTCTATATGTTACCGGTAAAGAAGTGAAATGCCAGCATTCTATGGAATATCTAGGTACTTTATAGAATGTCTGGCGCTTTTAGGCGAAGTATGAGATATTGGAATTATTATATGCTTTATATTATCTAGGCATTGTATATAATACCTAGGCATTCTATAGAATGAGAAATAATTTTTAGGCAAAGTATAGAAAAAATATCATGATAAGTCTAATATTTAAAAGATGTTCATTTCTCAAAAATACAGATGTTATTTGAAAAAATAATGAAACAGTGATATTAAAAATTGTTTATTCAAAATATATAAAGAAAAATGAAAGCTATAAGAAAAGCAATTTGTGCCTCTCTTAATAAAAGAGAACAAAATTTTCACATAAAAAATAGGAAATTAAAATTAACATATTTGTTGAAACATTTTTGAATTGGCTTGAATGGCATATTGAGTTCATTACTTTTGTCACCCAAAGACATCTATTATATCGGCATTTTGTTTTACACATACATTTGTCGAATCTTTGGCCACTTCCACTGAACTGAGCAATTAACTGCAATTATTGATCAGAGAGGAAATTCGGAGTCAGTAATATCTTCAGTTCTAAGCAAATTCTTACAACATAAAAGGAACTCCGATCTCATATATAGTTGCTTTAAGATTCTTTCAAACGTTCGGTAGAAAATAGTTTGTCTCATACTCATTACAACTGCCAATATATTGATCGAATTATTATAAACTTTCCCTAGGCACCTGTATATAATAAGATGATATATTTCATAGTTTGCTGGTTTGTCATCTGGCAATGTTTGAAATACTTAATCATTTCATACATTCCTACACAGTTTCGGCATTCTATAAAATGCCAGATATTCTACAGAATGCCGAATTTCATACTTTGCGGTAACATATACATATACAGATGAAGAAATATCATTTATGTTTCACAAAATGCATTTTGTTTTCCATTTTAGCAACAACACAGGATATATAATAATAACATTAATTTTATTAAATTATCCTTCAGTACCTTTAAGTACCAGTATTTGTGAAAGCATAATAATAAGTGAAAAATATTTACTTGTAGTTTATCTTCTGCTTCTTTCAGTTTTTCCATTTCTGCTTCACCTTGTTGAACAATAACACAAAACTGATTCTGAAAATGTTCGAGGAGCTTCTTTCTTTCAGCAGACTGAGTTTTGTTAGTCTCCAGTACCTTCTTTGTGGTAGATCGCGTAGATTCCTTAAAGAGGAGTACAATAAATATATCAATGTATAGTCAGCATACTTTTGCTCCGTTGTATGAAGTAAAGGAAGTATTGTAAAGGCGAAAAGTATTGATTTTCAAATTTCAGTGCAAATATCCATTTTGACCATTCCCGAATCCACTTTGACTCTTCTTGCATGACGTCTGTACGTACATATGTATGTATCTCGTATAAATCAAAAACTATTAGGCGTAGAACATTGGACTTTTGTATATGAGTGCGATATAACATTTAGCTTCGCGCCTCCCTATTTTATAGTAATTGGCCGTACCAGAATATATATATATATATATATATATATGTGTGTGTGTGGTGTGTGTGTCGTATGATCTTAAATTCACTTAGTGCGAAATCGAGTTAATCTACTAGCGCAATTGCTGCAAAGTAAGTTAATAATAATTTATTTACTAAAGAATATTGATTATATTATCTCCCAAGATTAATTGTAGTAGAATTATCTTAAAAGAGTGAATCCATACTTAAATTAGTAAGTTCAATTTCGAAAAATGTTAAAAATGTTTAACGGGGACTCGATACTATATTCAACCCCTTATCTGGCTTAAACGTCCTCAGCTGACCTTTATTTTTCTAATCTGTGGTTGTAATCATATACTTCCAATTATGACGGAAATATTCATGTTTTGGCACTGTCAAATTAAAAAAAAAAATAGATAAATAACGAAATATAATTTTAATACTGTCTCCCTGTTTTTATACATATATTTGGGAAAGTTTTATATAATATATGAAAATATAAAATTCAGGAAGTTAGACTCCCTTAGGACAAAAACTGACCAATATGTAATTTCAAAATTTTCAAGTTTCGATGTCATTTTCAACTTGCCTTGAGGAACTAGTTAAATAAATTAGAATAATTCAAGGAAATAAGTTTAGATGAAGTGCAGGGAAATGTGTGTAATTTAATAGGCTTTACAAGGAAGTCCTGTGCTGTTCACATCAGATTTTTTTAATTAATGATAACTGGTATGTCTTTTATCTTAAATTATGTTCCCTGAACATACTGCAGTAAATAACATTTGTGTGACGGTACTAATTAACTTATATTCACATCACCAGTCTTTAATGCTCATAATTTGACTTTATTTTAGATCATTCCTACAATGCGTATTAAAGTGTTACTTATACATAAATTACATAAAGTACTTATACATTACTTAAGAAATAAAAATAAAATGGTATCCTAATGCTTAAAATTTTAATTTAAGATGTGGGTGAGACTTCTTCTAACTGTTACTTTATTTTATACACTGGAGCAAATTTTAACTTCCTAAGGCAGGCTAACATGTTAAACTTTAAAACCAAAAACCAGATGCCATTGACAAAACATTTTGACAAACAGAAATTAACAAAACACAATAAAATGTTTTCTTAGCCAAACCGCATTCTTTTAGTTTGTAGAAACACTGAGTTATTTCGAAGCAGAAGATGTGAAAAATGAGCAAATGCCCTCGACGGGACTCGAACCACGGCCCTACATCACGAAGGGCATGCTAAGAAGGTGGGAGAAACTCTTTATATACACCCCCTTTTAAAGGGCGGCTGGGGATTAGGGGACTCAATCGCCACATCCTGGTGGTGGAAAATTATCATTCACCACCTTTTTAGTTCGGGCGCCACTGTAGAAGAATTAGGTTAATTGGAAGCAGGAGAGATAGTGATAGTGATAAATAATAATAATAAAAATAAAATCTTCGGTTGACATTCTACAACAATTTAATTTGTACATTGGAATTAATTTTATGTTTATGCTCTCACCTTTAATATTTGTATTTTCAAAGAGTTTTTAAACTGATGCGGATGGTGCTTAATTTCATTTCTTTTAAGTGTTGGATGAACTTGATGCAAGTTATAAAAATCATTTTACCAACTTATAAGGTATTTCTCACGCCGTCTTACCATGTCTTCGTGGTGACGGAGGACGTGGCCACCACCCCTTTACTATTAAGTTACAGCAGGAGAGATGAAAAATGAGCAACGCCTTCGCCGGGCATCGAACGACGGACCTCTGGAATACGCCCCCAGCGAGCTGACCACTACACTACGAAGGCGTGCTAAGAAGACGGGATAAATATCTTATATACTCCCCCTTTCAGAGGGCTTCTGGGGTTTTAGGGCACCCAATCGACAAATCCTGGTGTAGAGACATTAGTTATTTTGAAACAGGAGAAGTGAAAATGAGAAATGCACTTGCTCGGACTCGAACCACGGTTCTCTTGAATACGCGTCGAGTTTGCTGACCACTACACCATGAAGACATGGTAAGACGGCTTGAGAAATACCTTATAAGTTTGTAAAATGATTTTTATAACTTTCATCAAGTTCATCCAACACTTAAAAGAAATGAAATTAAGCACCATCCGCATCAGTTTAAAAACTCTTTGAAAATACAAATATTAAAGGTGAGAGCATAAACATAAAATTAATTCCAATGTACAAATTAAATTGTTGTAGAATGTCAACCGAAGATTTTATTTTTTTACACTAAAGGCAGTGTAGAAAGATGTAAAAGTGTCAGAAATATTGTAACATGCCACAGTATGCTTTAGACACAGGATAGCTTGTGCACGAAGATTGCAAAAATATTTTCCACGAGTGAAGTATTGATAATTTCTAGCTGACAATAACTTTTGCAAATACGTATTAAAGATTGTTTTGATCTTTGAAACTTCTTACAGATAGTCCTTCTGACATTTTTGGACCTTTAATTTCGTTACGATATGCTATCATGCATTTCCTATTAATGCTGCCACTGAGCAAAACATAATATATTATAAGGTACTTATTTCGCACCTGCCTACATTTTGGTGAGTTTCTTAATCGTAAACAATTTCTAGTTGACCTTTCACAAGCGCCAAGATACGTGGAGGTGCGTAACGGAAGAGACAATCTTTTTCTTCCAAATAATTTGCGCAATATTCGCTCCTGAAAGTGCTACCATTTGGAAAAGCATAAAAACTTCCATTTATCTTTCAAACTTAGTCTGCAATTGCTGAACAAATTGAGCTAATTAAAATCAGTAAATTCCCTTCTTAATAATTCAAACCTTCAGTTTCATTTTTAATAATGTATCTGTTTGATTTACATGAAAATACGTATAATTTCTAACACATCCAACGGATAAGTACCACAAATATTTTCAGCATTAGTATACTTAAAAAAGAATGTTTCTTAACCTTTCAAGAACCCATACTACATTTTGTTTTTAAATGATTAATTTTGTTATATTAAACAAAAAATTATTAGTCTGTAATAAACAATACTGGTAAGTAATATTGGTTAAAATCAATATAGCTAAGTAAATGTAAAGGATTATGCTCCATGCATTAACAACAACTTTCGAGAATGCCGTCTAATTTAAATTCGAGTTTGCAAGGCATTTGGAATAAATAAAATCTAATAACTTTAGAGAGAGTATCAAATAGAACATTGTTTCAGGCTCAATGAAGATCCATTCTGAGCATTATATTTTGCCAGATACATCTAAGGATTATTTGATGATGGTATCCAGCAGAAATGTTACATAATAAAATCTCTTTATAGTTGAAAGACGCACATTAACCACTTAAAATTATAGTTTTATAAATTTAAGGAAGTAAAAAGTACGTGGAGCCGCCCAATTGGTACAGTGGTTAACGACCCCCTGCGATTGGCACGGGTTCGAATCCCGAAGCAGGTATGGTCGCAACTGTCCGTTCCTTCATAGGAGGCAACGGTTGCCACCTATTAGGTGCTTCATAATAAAATGGCCACCACTTTCCGGCTCTTGGCGCAAGGCTAATGGCATAAAATAAAGCGTGGGCCATAAAAAAAAAAAAAAAAAAAAAAAAGAGGGAGTTTTAATTTTGGTATTCCAATATGGCAATTATTTGAGTCATGGAACATCCAAATACAAATATGCAATACAGCGCGTGTCCAGAAACAGTTTTTAAAACACTTTAGAGTGACCTCTTTCTTGGAAAATTAGACAGTATTCCCACTTGAGGAAAACCTTTAAAGTTTTCCTCAAGTGAACAAGCTCAAGTGAACACCTCGTGAACAAGCGATGAAGTTAAATATACAGCTTGCACAAAAAAGGGCGGTTCTATATCTTCCTTTTTACTGGACCGTTTGTCGAAATTTAACTTGCGTTTTCCACGTCTCGAATGTTCTCGTGTCTTAGGATATATATTAGGTTTACATATAGCATTGTTCTAACATAGATATTTTAACACAAAACCAGAAAGCTTTTTCTGAAATAAAATACCATTTTTTTCCCTATTTCTATTCTACGACTCAAATTATGCCTGGATATTAAATTTCGCAAATTTTGGTGAGAAATTTAAAAATTTTGCATATTTTTGGCATATTTTTTTTAGTTTGCGCCAAGAATAATTCATTCGGCGAGTTTCTTAATTTAAAGCAACCTATTTTCCTAATTTTTTTAGGTATGCTTAAAAGTACATCTACTTCAAGATGATGGTAAACATTTTATAGGTTCTAATTCAAAATGTTTTTGAAAAATTTATAAAATTATTTTAAAATACAAATTTAAAAAGTAAATCATAGAAAATTAGCGAATTTTATTTGGAATGAACTTAAACTTCAAAATGTGAAAGGAAGAATCAAATAAGATTAACAAAATTAGCGATATAAATAAATACATATAAAAATTCAATTAACATGGAGAAGCTAAAATTTTGAGAGCTAATGTTTTAAAAACTTATTGTGCGATTTTTACAAAGCTTAGCATTTTGGCATAACTTGAGTCATAGAATCGAAATATGGAAAAACATTGGTATGTTATTTCAGTCCGATTGTGTGTCAAAATACCTATGCTAGAACAATGCTATATATAAATCTAATACATATCCTAAGTCACGCTTTCTAGACATGGTAAATGCCAGTTAAAAATTCGACAATCGGTCCAGTAGAAAGGGAGATGTAGAACTGTCTTATTTTATTTGCGCAAGGTGTACAGTTACATCTTAAATAACTAAACGCACAGATCTCCACATGGCAATAATTTGCAGTGAATTAATACTATTTCGAGTTTTTATCCTGCTATGGGGTGTTGTTTTTGTAACTACTCATTTTAAATCTATGATTTTCACACCATGATTTGACTGCAGTTAAAATTTTCTTTCCTTTTCTTAAATATTTTATTAATTTTTTGAAATTTTAGTAGCAAATGTCTCAAAATGAAAGATTAGAGCCTGAAAATTTTAGATTGCAATTTTATTTATTTATCTGTTTATTATTTTTGCGTTATGTGGGCAAAAACATGTAGCGTAAATTGTAAAGCAGCACAGTAATCTCATTACACTCATTAAACTGTTTTCTATGTCCCCAGGGCCCACCAGCGGCCGAGCGGTAAAGTCGCTGAACACTGGTAGTTCGGTCCGAGGTTCGAGTCCCGCGAACGGGCTGGCTGCATGGGTGTTTTCGTGGTTTTCCCCATGTGTAACTGTATCGAGCCAGTTTCCCTTAGAAAGTCCTCCACGAAGGCATCCCTCCCCTTAGGCAGATAGCCCTAGTGTGCTTTGCCGTAATTAAATACAGACACACACAGCACACACATCTATATCCCCAATTTTTCAAAACACATTTTGAACGTATTAAATCGTTGAATATTGAATGATTCCTTTTTTTAAGATACTATTTTTCTGTGTTTTCCCACATTAATCATTTTAAATATTTCTTCTCTTTCTATAAAATGTAGGCGTCAGAAATTTGAAAGAAAGGGAAACAAAGAAAATGATGATGCTGAAAAATGGTTCATCATTGCTAACTACAGACATCTTAAAAAAGCTTTAAAAAGTATTCCAGATTTTAAGATAATATTGGTTATCAGCGGGACAGAGAAAGCCAGAATACTGCTTAAAAATATTTCATGTCTCTCAATGGAAACAAAATTATAGTGGTGAAATAGCCACCGTTTTAAGTGATTTTATTGCTATACTATTTCTTTTTTTTGAATATCATTATCGTTATTATTTATGTTTTAAATGTGTTCTCACTGAAGCAAAGGAAAGAAACGAAGTTATCATTTAGATAATTATAGTACTGCTATTTTATAATCATAAGAAATTATCGTATTTCCCCGTGCGTGCTCTGATGGTGTAAGTGGATAGCATGTCCAAGTAGAAAATGGAACCTTCGAATCCTGGAGAACTTAGAACAAGAAGTGCATTAAGCGTTTAATTATTTTACTAACTTTTTGTTTACCTACAGAATTTGGTGTTCGGAAGAGCTACTATTTATTTCAATTAATAAGCGTAGGTTGCACTGCTGATTTGGCGAAGAAATGCAATGAGTCAGGCTGCTGAAGCTAGCGAAAAGTCAGATGCTGCTGACTTCGAATGGGCTTAGTGTTTTCTAAACACATTCATCATATGTGAAAATAAGTTATACAGTAATAAAAGATATGTAAATAAACGTGTTTCCAAAACTTCAAAACATAAGGAATTAAAACCGTACAAATGAGTCGATGAAAAAGTAAAAAGGAAAAGATGCAGAGACGAATTTTTCTGCCTTTTAAATAGAGCTGACGCAATTATGGCATTTTCCTCTGTGCATGGTCTTGTAATGTAAAAGGTTTGCGCATCCTTTTACCGTTTGGAACACTAGCAATTCGAATTCCAGCGAGCGCGTCATTGATTTTTCGCGTTTCTTGCTCCGAAGAATCCTAATGTTCTGTAGAACATATACTTTGGAGAATAAATCTAATAATTGCTCTAAGGTATTACACTAAATCAGATATGTAAATCATTCTTCAAAAATACTATATATATTTAAATTTAACTTTCAGTAGACTAATATAAAACATATAACATTATCTTCAAATCACAAATTTAAGCTATTGAAATTCCTATTACTTTTAAAGAAGGCGATTCAAAACAATACTTTAAATATGCGAAATCATTTTTAAATAATAATTTTCAGAGCAGTTACCTAGTAAGTGCGTAATAATTCTTTGCAAAATTCATAAACAATTTGAAATATAGAAAAAAAATATGAGTAAAATTATATGGGTATGAAAATATGAGTAATATAGAAAATCATATGAGTAAACACTATAGATGGAATAAAAAAACAATGGACATAACGAAAGAAAGCGAATAATTAGAAAGTTCAACTTAAATTTAATAATTAAAAGGAAGCACATATTGCATAAACACGTATCGCATGCTAATATCAAACACTAATATTCAAGAAATATTACATTTAGAACACAAAAATTAAACATCCTAAACTCTTTTTCTTTTTTTTGAAAAGGTATCAAATCATGCCATTTTTATTAAATTAACTTTAGTTTTTTTTAATCAATATCTGAAATTATTATGTATTTATTTCAGATGCGAGGAATAATGTTTTTAAAACATCAGTGTGCATAACACGTTAAAAAGGATTTACCTGAGTAAACTGCTCCAACTTTTTTCGTTTGGCTAGCATCGTTTTATTGAGATCAGTGCTAAATCTTTCCAATAACTTTGACATCCCACCACTAAAATCCGCAGTATATACTGACTCATTTTCCATATCTATCCCACTTCGTTTCGAACCACTATCAGAAACAACTGGAGACTTTGGAACTTCATCAATTTCATCATCAGAAGGCAAAGAGTCACTATTGCCAGCGCCATTTTGGACAGTACTCATGCGCTTAGGTCTTTTTGCAAATTTACGAACGTTTTCTGCCTTTGCTCTAGGCATTTCAAGTGAG